TACCCAGAGGAAAGCATTTCTTTATCTTTCGAACGTTAATTTGAATGAAGAATTGTAATAAATGTGGTGATAATATATCGTGATGCGTTTGAAGCTGGACCAGTAAGTGCCAGATTTACATTATAATTAATTATTTATTACATTATAATTAATTATTACATTATTTACATTATTTTATGACAAATTAATTAATTATAATGTAAATAATTAATTACATTATAATTAATTATTTACATTATAATTAATTAATTTGTCAAGGTGGGGAACTATACAGGATGGTTTCATAATTGTGTCCGTCATTAAATGACTCGCATTCATCGTTGGACTATCGGTGTTCGAAGCTAGAAATTTTTACAACATTGCCTCAACATAAGGTTGCGGCTTCTCTAGGTAGGTTACGTTTCAACTTAAATCTAACAACTTTCGTAATTTAGTGTCTTTCCTTTATTATTTCTGACAGACGCTGAGCAGGTAAGCATTTACCTTTGATGTTCTGATTAATAAACCAAATACTGCATAAATAAATCTTAAAGATCAGTCATTTATAAAACAATACACATTCCATGTTCAACTTTCCCTCTAAATGATGCTTTTTTAATATTAAAAAGTCATCAGAACACATCAATGAAGATTCTCTTTTTTTGAGAAAAACTGATATTTAATTAAACATTGAAAAAAAGATTTTTTTGGGGCTTAGTGTTACTGTTGTACAGAATGTTTTAGAATCAAATTTTACCTATGCATTTTTTGGTATGTTGGTGAAATGTTTTTAAGATTACCTGCTAAAATGTTTCGCTTAAATTTTGTTTCTGCAACAAGCATTTTTTAGAGCTATGAGCGATTTTAAAACTCCTTGGAATATCTACTTTTAAAAGTAGAACAACTTAATGATAAAAAAGGTGCACGTTTTTACCAGTGGACCTACAGAGTAGCAGCAGAACGAATTGAAGACGAACAAGAGCGCCGTTGTCTTTTAAAAGTTCAAGAACGTAACCGTTACTAATTCAGAAGTCAAACAAAAAAAATCAGCGTTATATTTTGAAATTTTCAAATTTACTGTGAAAATTTGAAAATATAACGCTGATTTTTGTTGTTTGACTTCTGAATTACACTCATGTCCATAAATTAAGGATAATGCAAAATCAGGCAAAGGAAGAGTTAGAAGCAAAACAAATTTGACTTATTTGTAAAGCTTATTTATTAAACAAAAGGCAAAGAGCAAAAAACGATGCCATATGTTTGATATTATTAAAAAAAATTAGCGATTTTTTCTTCCTGAAGCAAATTAAAAAAAAAAAAACCTATTTACAAAAAACCAATATTACATGGTTGGTATGATTGTTAATACATTGTATGTCTCCAGACGATGCAATACAGTCCGTACAACGTCCTAGGCATGCTGAGTATCAAATTATCGATCTGATCTTGGGGGATATTACACCACTCAGAAAAGCAATGCTCTCCGAAGTTCCGGTAGACATGTAGGAGGAGGTTGACGGGAGGTTGACGGGCTGCAACTCGTCGGCCAAGCATGTCCCACACGTGCTCTACTGGATTCAAGTCCGGTGAGAATGCTGGCCAGTCCATACGGGTGATATCCTCCGATTGAAGGCATTCGCTTACGATGTTTGCACGGTGAGGACGGGCGTTGTCATCCATAAACACAAATTGTGCGCCCATGGCGCCCCGAAACAAACGTACATGTTGTTCCAGAATGACGTCCCGATAGATTTGGCTTGTCATGGTTCCAATTTGAACATGCAGGTCAGTTCTGGAACCCAGAATAATTCCACGCCAAACGAGCACTCCTGCACCACCGTAACGGTGTCGTTCAATGATGTTTTCTTGGTAGGTAACGGGTACCTGGAGCTCTCCATATGAAAGTCCGGCGAGAATCAGACTGCAAGCTAAACCTGGACTCGTCGGAAAACATCACACAAGCCCACTGTTGCGGTGTCCACAATGCATGCTCTCTACTCCAGGCTAAACGCAGGAAACAGTGAGTTGCAGTAAGTGGAACGCATCTGACAGGTCTACGAGCATATAGACCAATCTGCCCTAAGCGTCTGTACATGGTCTGCCTTGAAATTGTCTTACCAATGGCTGAAGAGAGCTGACGAGACAGGTCTGAGGCTGTGCTCCGCCTGTTTCTTTTGGCAGCAACTGCCAAATACCGGTCCTCATTCGGCGTTGTAACTCTGGGGCGACCTATGCTGTAACGTCTACTTACAGTGTAATCATCTTGGAATCGTTGCCAAAGCCTGGAGATGACACTCTGGGCATTTCCAAGTTCGTCTGATAGTCTCAGTTGGGTACGCCCACATTCCAGACGGCCGATAAATCTACCACGTAAAAAATCATCCAAATGCGTCCTTTGTGTCATAACTATTCGGTTATTGCACTGAAATGCTTATAAAGCACCTGCGAACACTTTTACATCTTTGCCTGTATTCCTTATATATCACTCTCTTACACTCTCGTCATTGTGACGTACCATCGGTGTCATCTGGTTACTTCCTGAAATTTGCATATGATTCTTGAAGATGTGCGTAGTGATTTTACATGTGATATATTTATTTTAGAGTTCGATTTCCGCGTGACTCCGAATTATCCTTAATTTATGGACATGAGTGTAGTATTGGTTCGGCGTGTTATTGTGTCTTAACGTAACGTTGTACAGAATGACGCTGTCGATAAGCAGCACGTTTTCAGTTTACGCCTTTGGATGTACACCACCACTACAAATATACAAATATACGTTGGTATTTTTCAATGCAAATGGTGTTTTACGCATTACACTTATATGAAAAATCCTGCGATCAAATAAATATTATATTTTTTCTTGACTCCCAGTTGCTTCCAGAAGAGCTAGGTATTTGAAGATTTAGTAATATTTATTGAAGGATGGCCGAAATAATCAAAAAGTGGTCTGAACATGGGGAATCTTACATCCATTTTTACTATGCTGCTTCTTAAATAATTCATTGTGTGTACCTAAATTGGTGCTTAGTTTTGAATACGTGTTATTTCCTTGCACACTATGACAGAACAAGGAAGTCAAATCCGAATAAAATGCATGGAGTTTCCATTATGTCCTACTGCATATTTAAAGCCACTGTTAGTAAGAAACACTAAATTTATACAGCTATCGAAGCGGAATCGAGTGATCCTTATCTTTTACTAGATATTACAGCAATCTCATGGAAATCAGTGCTGACAAAAACCATGAGATATATTTATTAAAGCTTAATGACGATATTAGCTACATTTCTCATCTCGTTTCAAGCATGTGTTATTAACTATTCAACGTGATACAGTGACAAATGGAGACCATTATTACTTCTTTTATACCGTTAGCTAGAATAAAACTTGCTCTCCAGATTTGTAAATCTTTTCTGTTGTGTGGTTTTTGTCGAGGAAAGATTTTACGTAATTAATGACGCCAAACCCGGAAGTGAGTTTAGTTCTGTCCCATCTACGGGATAATAGACCTGTAAGACAATAAGATTTGGGAAAAGACTTCATTTTTTTATCTTTAATGATGTGCCTTTGTTGCGGCTTATCTTCTTTTGTTTCGGATATAAAAAAAACATACGGGCAGTTATATTTTATATTGATAAGATAGCGTTAAATAAGAAATTAGAATGTTCTTAAATATACTTATACACTTTTCATATATGCTTCTTATGCACCATTGTACTTTTATTTTACATTATTTTCGTAACAACCCTTTTAATTACAGAAAATAATGTAAAATGAAATATGTAACATTAATGTAAATTTTACACTGAGGTGCGTCGCACTGGAAATATTGCTTTTGGTTATGTAATCTAAACTTTGCAAATTTGCTTCAAATAAATAAATACGCAATTAGATATAAAATTGCTAACTATCTTAAGTAAAACATGTAAATAAAGAAATCAATCCGGAAGTTAATGATCAGCAAGACATGAAAATTATTAGTTAAATTAACCTATTTTACGCAGACTGTTGTGCTTCTGCTTTTAAACAAATTCATTTTGTTCGGAATCCTTTAAATCTGAAACCTAAATTTCCTTGGGGACTATCTGGAAATTCATCGCCCAATTGTAATCTCAAGTGAAGAAACTATAAATTCAGATGTGGGTATATAATAACCTTTTTATTATAACTTTAATGTAATGCTGAAATTCACAAGGCAGAGTCCTAATATAAACTTTGACTTCGGTTTCTAAACACTGGAGCAACACGGCTAGTAAAAGACTAAAGCCGATTCATCAATTCTAATAACTGGGGGAGGAACAGCGTCCAGGTCAGCGTAGCTGGCAAAAGCTCACTTCCTAACTTCCAGAAAGTAATTCTAATGTACTTGTTAATTAATTTCTTCGATGGGAGGCTGCGAAAAAGTAAAAGTGAAAATAAAGATAAAAATTATTATATGATGAGTTAATAATAATACAACTTAATTAAAATGTGCGCAAGTAATTTATATTACACAAAACAGGTGCCAAAAATATACCAAATAAATTAAATAAAAATAAAGATAAAAAAAAAGAAAAGAATAAAATTGGCGAGCATAATTAGATTCCTCAGAAGACCTTTCAGTGATTTTAACTGCTCTGCCTTCTTCAGCAGTTTTCTTTAATTAGCAATCGAACAAGAAAGTGCAGTCGAAAATGTTGAAAGCACTCGAGATGAATTTTCATTGTTTTGTTTCTTCATTTCAATCGAAGCAATTGTTATTAATGTTTGTACCTTAATTTACTCATTGTAAGATACTCATCGTTTCCAATAACATGTCGTTTGAGGATAAAACTTTTGTCCAATTCACCATTCACAATTCCTTTAAAATGAAACCTAACGATAACTATAAAAATATACGGATAACAAATTCGTATATTTCTTTCTTCTCAATGCTGAGTTATATACTGAAACGATATTTTCAAAAGTTATTATGTTCTTAGAATAGCAGCTAAGATTTAAAATGGCATTCTTTTAATATCAACCATTTTTACTTTTAGGATAGCGAAAAGGACCTGGTATCTCTGCAGAGGAATTCAAACATCCAGATGGCAGATTTGAGCGAGAATGACCGCAATTTGGTTCGTTCTTTGGCCATCATCGAGGTGGCAGCACTTTTGGACACACATGGTCTAGTTCCGACGAGGAGGAGAAAACCTAACAGAAAGAAAGGCAAAGGTAAGTCGGGGGAATTAAACACTTTTCCCAATAATATAATTTCTTCTGCTTCGGGTCAATGAGTGCGCACAGACCATTGTAAAATCAGTGCTGAACTGGGTCTGTATGTACTGGAATGGGTGTTGTCGTCACCACCAAAAGAACAAGGCCTTAGCACTGAAATCGCCAAGTCACCAGTAACGTGTAAAGAAAAGAACGCGCTCGCACCTAGTTAATATTGTATAAGTTAGAAATGTGGCTGTTTCGCTTGTTAAAATCTCCCACCACAGCCAGTATCGATGAAATACCTTGATACTTAAAAATTTGATTCCACTATTTTGTTCCATGTTACAGACGTTTACTAATGTCAAATATAAAATTTGGCCTAACTTTTTTATTATCACGTGGCACATAACTTTAAAAATATGCTAATTAAAGTATCTATTAGAGTATCTTCTTCAAACGAAAATTTAAAAAGGATAAAAAATTAACATTTTTTAAGCAAAAACATCTTATGTACCTTAGAATGTTTTTATGGACTGAAATTCTGCGGTGAATACGTAGCTATACTTGTACATAAAATCCGATTTTCGAAGAAATGAAAACAAGTCTAATTGTTTATCGTTTGGATTATTTTCTGTGTAACTAGGTTCACAACAAATATAAACTATTCTTCAGCAGATTATTGATAATCACCAAAGAAATACTTGTCAGTCTTTCGTGAATATGCTACAACTACAATGTCACGCTACAACTACAATCACGCGGTACCACGAGGTAATTTTGTTATGTCTACTAATTCTCCCACTGGTCACGTCACTTGCAACAAAACGGGGGTGGTTGTTTTTCTGGTTGTAACGGTCTAATCGATTGTACGAGGTTTCCATACATTACCCCATATGGAACAAAAAAAAAAAAAAAAAAAAAAAAAAGACTCCTCGACTATCACCTGTTACAGGCTTTAAAATGTTTGTCTTATCTACAAATGTTTCTTTGCAAGAATGTCAAATGTGCATGCGAAAAAGGTAAGAAAGCTACCGTTCTTAACTACTTTGTCGTAAAGTCAACTATAGAGTCGCAATCTTTGCCTCAACTTCATGTTTAAAGGAAAGGATCCTCATTTTCGAATTCTATACCTTGACAATCTCACCCAGGGCAGTTGATCTTCTCGAGTTTTTAAGATAGGAAAGGAAGAAAGGAATATTGGTAAGGATAGAAAGAAGAAATAATCGAGGGATCTTTTCTAGAAAAAAACGGATCGTGTGTAATTCTGCATGAAGATCTTAACAAGCACAATGAACGACGATCGGGCAATTTGCAATAATATAACTAATGTAGCCTGAGTGATATTTTCTGCATAACTCGACGACCATGCGCCGAAGTGGTTAACATCTCCAACTAAAGGTAGCTGTGTCTTAGGCGCATCTCCCATTAGCGGGTTAGGCAGATCTTTTAGTTTTCTATACAAGTGATATAAAAAGGAAGTAGTTTCATAAGAAAGTCCTACATGAAACACTTATGTATAAATTTTGCTTAGTCAGGGCAGAATAGTCAGAAACTTTGTTATGCAATGGTACCTCAGTACACGCCAGCTTTGAAATATGTCGAACTTGGTATATATATCCTATTTCGACTCGAAAAGTTTTGTTTGGTATACGACATTTGTTTCGAATAAAAATCGAGTTCAATGAATCATGACGATTACGCGCAGTACACTGATTTGCTTCTTTCGAGACAATGCTACAACTGTCCATGAACCGGTTGCTACATTCGCTAAATAACCCGCAATATAAATCTGAACTTTCAAGTGATTTGGTTTTTTTTCAGATAGTAATTTTGCAAATTTTAGGCGAAAGGGCTTTTAATTTCGTTTTGGCATTTTGCTTCGAAAATTTAAAATACTGTATCACTTTTCGTATTGTTGCCACCAAATGTTATCGATCCTGTGTTACATTTCAAGAAATTAAGTAATGAAGAATCTAAGAATCTGCATAAATGTATGTGTGTTTCTGGCATTGTGATAAAACAACAGTACCTAGAGCCATCAGATTTTGAATAACGTAATCCCCCATCCGAATATAGGCATCTGGAAGCCCTAATTTAGAATTTGTTTTATTACCTATTTCATATTATGTAAAACTTTAACACATTTTCGATTTACAAACTCAGATTTCAAAGCGATCAATGGCAAAACTGTACGAAAAAAGAAGCATTTTTATCACCAACGCGTCAGACTGTGTATCGGAAATTCTAAAGATATGCTCTTTTAAATATTTTGTGATATCGCTGTCGAATTGAATTTTATGGTTTAAGTGCCAAGAAGATGATATTTAATGAAGAAAGGGAACAGAGAAAACGTTAAAAAAAGTACCTTTGGGCGTAATATAAAATCTGAAAACTTCCAGATTTTTTTTTCTTTTTTTTTCATGGTGGGCCCTAGCTATTTTGTCTTTTTGCAAATTCATTAACAATGAGTTTTTGGGAAAGTTAATGGGTTAATGTGAAGCTTCATGCAACGAAATATATTATTAAGATTACTATAAAAATGGAAAAAGAAATCACTGAAAAGTATGAAGAATGGTATGCATATCCGGGACTTGGTGTCTGCGATTGTGAAAAATAAAAGACGCAATTAAATCGGCTAACGTTGGGAAGGGATGAAATAGATTACTCAACAAAGACCAGAGACGTTAAAGCACGTTAACAAATTTCTTTTGCTCTGCATAGTAAAAGAGCATTATTTATATACAATATCACGTGCAGTGCTTTATTTTATATAAAATATATATTTCACTCACTGCATGTGTATTTAGTATTAAACAATGTTATAATAATAGCACATTTTATAAGAATGAATTTTTTATTTTCTCTTTATTTCTTATTGGAAAAGTTTAGTATAGGTCCAAGGATCTAGATGGATTAATGACGTATATGGAAGTGTTAGTATTATACCCACAGTAAATGCTTTTTAAGTCGTTGAACTGGCTAGGTAGTTTTATTGAATTATATTCTACTATCTAGAGTTTTTCGCCAGTTTTATCGTGTCTCTGAATGCACAAAATGTATGTGCATCTTTTTCTACTTATATGCAAACATTTATGATTTGCGATAATGGTTTATAAATTTACGTCAATACCCACACTGTTGTTTCCAGATTTGGCATTTCGCTAAAAACTGCGACGTATTAAAAGCCTCTGATATCTGTTTCGTACCATTCTGTATCTACTGGATTCTCAGATTCGAGTATAATTGCACATTACAAGTGCAATTATTGTCACAAATAAATCCGTCTTCAAATTCCAAACCTCCGCATATACCTTCTCGCTTCGCATTTTAAGCGCATATAACAACTTTATGAAGACGCGGCGATTGCGCATTTTATTGCATAACTCAGAACTACTCCACCGCTCTGCTCAACATACAGTTACGATCTCAGGAAACAACTTCGGAACTCTGGAATTTCGAAATCTGAAATTAGCATCTTGCGGCACTACACAACACGATAATGCTTTAGTGCTTGTTTTATGTCCTGTAGGGTTATATCCGGCAATTAGTGTCGTATATTATCATTTCACGCGCCGTTTAATCCGTTGGGAAGGATTAAGTTAGCAACGGCGGGAAAATCTCGAAGCGATCGTTCCTTGCAAAGATGTGCTGTTCGGGAGGAATTCGTTCTTAGTTAAGGGAATATATTCAAAAACTTGAATGTGTTTTCCAAATTTGAGATTTAAAACCCACATAAATTTGAATTGTTATGTGCTGCTTTTATGATTATGTCTCTTCCCGTCTGTTTCGTTTATGTCTTTTTTATTACTTACGTCACTTAAATATAGAAAAAGTAATCATGTGCTGTCTTTTATAAGGCAATTAATATACAACTGAACACATGATATTTTAATGTAGAACAAGAATAAATAGGGAGAGAATGTTACGAACTTTTAGATTATCATTTTCTATTGCAGCATATCAAATCCGTATTGATCACCTTGAATGATAGAAATGATCTCTTCCTTCGTCAGACTCATGTATGACGTGAAGTAATAGTAACTTGCTTTATAGAACCTAGAGACACGAGAATTGTGTTATACTTTTTTTAGAATTCGAACTCTGAAAATTCCCGATTGCTAGCCGGATGTACAAGCTAAGGAGCGAGAAACTACTTCACAAAGTTGCTGGAAAACTGCCATGGTGTCACACCATCGCAGGTTTCTAATCACTCGAATAATGTTTCGACAGCATGGACCAACAAAAGTAAAGAAGATGACAAACTCCCGTCTTTAAGTGTCCACATCGTCAGGCTACATATCTTCTAAAGTTTGTGGGTTGTTATAATCTTTGAACAATCCAAAGATTCTTCCGCGAAATCTCAAATTCTCCAAAGTGGCCACGATAAAGAAATATTTTATTGAATTATAATTCTAATCATGTTTCGAACTTTGTATCTGAATGCTATTCCACCTGACATATTCTTGCTATAACGGTTGAAGCCTTTTCGATGTGTACAACTATGTAGGTTTTTAAAAGTATTTAGGACGAATGTTGTTGAAAGCATAATGACAAACCCCAGGAAAAAAAAGAGATGAAGTAGATGCAGTTTATTCATTCATTCTGATGCATTCTGCTCAAGACAACAAATCTTGAAATGTCTTCCAAAAACGCTGCGTTAGTGCAAAAGCCAGGCATTTGTAATAAATAAATAAATAAATAAATGTCTTCCGGAATTTTTTCTAATTAGAAATATCTCTGTACCAGGTCCACATCGTCTGTTAATTCCCCTATCGCTTTAACCTTTTAATTTAGGTTACTGCAGTTTCTGTGATTATCAGAATGATTCAACGGGGTACTTAAACTTCTGCTTCTTTCTTGCCGACCACCAGTTTTAAGAAAGAGGGGATAAAGGTACATAGTCGAGAATCTTTTCATCTACCAATTAACTCTTTTGGGAATGAGATTGCTATCTTCTAACAAAAAATTCTGATGTGTACACCACATGACTTTCTTGTACGGAATATTAAATTATA